ACATTGATTTTAGTCACTTTGGAGTCCAAATATATTCTTTAGTCATCTAAATTTGAATTCAGCATATTGAAAACTGAAAAGGAAATTCCCAATGTGCTTCAATATTATGTGAGTTTTGCCATTTATTATCATTGAGTGTTACTGGAGCTGAGTTTCAGAACAGATGTGATTTATAAAAATAAGAAAGTCATTTACAGTTATAGAGCTTAAGTGGAAATAAGAGACATAATCAGCATTTCTTCAGAGCATAAAGTGTTCATTAATGACATAGTTTGAAAAATAGTCAACTTCCAGGAATTTATGGTTTTCTGTGCAACATTTGGTAAGGACAAAACTCCACATTACATGCATCACTTAAAAATTTCACTAAAGGGCATTTAAAATATATAACTACTAGAGGTATTTCTTAAAAATGAAATCAATTCTATTGTACTGTACAGTAATATACACATGTAGGTTTTTCATACAACAAATCTTCTGTAGAAGATTTAAAAACAGTAAATTTACTTTTTGAAAACATTTTATAAATGTATGTAACTTGGGACAAGGAGATTAAATTTTAGTTTTTAAAAAAACCTAATTTTATTCAAACTTAAGAAATAATACATTAATAGTCTGAACTGACCTTTCTCTAGATTTGTAGAAGTCTAGTCTACCACTTAATAAATTGGCATATATATTAACAAATGGACTCCTCCTTGCATTTGTATTAAGTCTGTATTGTAAAACTGACATTTAAATTATTTTGAACTGGCTAATTGAATATTTCTTTTGCAACAAACCCCTTAAAGCCATCTCTGAGTGCTCCACAATACTGATCCCAGAACCACATATAAAATAGAATGTCAATTATCTTGACCCAATGCTATGTGCAAACACATCCTTAATATTTTCTCTCTTGTGACAATAATAGAATATGCCCTTTGGGATTAGTTATCGTAGAGATATAGAAGCTTTGGCTCAAATAGCCAACTTGGCTTGAACGTCAAGATGAATCTGATTAAAGGTTTTAAGTTTTACCCATATTTCCGGAATGGGTTAGAACTATCTAACACTTTAATCCTTATTGCATTACATCTGATTAACTGAACATCGGCATCTGCTCATGTTCAAGGAACAGATGGCAGATCTCAGAGAATGAATATTCTTAGCTCAGGGACCCCTTTAAGGTGAACTCTCCCTCACCCCCATTCATACCCACTGAAGGCTCCATGGTCAAAATGAAAACAAATTTATTCTCTTAACTTAGAAAAATGTAAAAAAATAAAAACTATGCTTACATAGTGTTTATTTGACATAATAAAACTCAAAGTCCATAACTATTGTACTGATAGAAATTACTGAACTAATTAAATTCCTTCTCTCCAAACTAAAGTATTGGATTAGAGATTAATAAATTTTACCACCATTACTACTTACTTGCATGACTTTTTGCAAAGCAAATTTCTACATCTATAATTTTTATTTGTCAAAAAAAATATATAATTCCTAGCCTAATTCTTAGGGCTATGTCAAGGAAAAAAGGAAATAAAACACACTAAAGCACTCTGTAAAAACATAGACCACAATCTGATACAATTCCAGAAAAGTGCATTATATATCTATCTTTTCATTAAAATAAGTAAAATATGGCAATGTATTAAAGAAATATATTCTTCAAAAAGTCAAGTTTATTCCAGGAATGTAGGAATGAGTCAATCTGAGGCAGTCCATCAATGTAATGTAACAAGTAAATAGATTAAAAGAGAAAAACAATTGATCATAACTAAAACTATCCCAAAGACATCTGACAAACTACAGTATCGATTCACAACAAAGCTCTCAGTAAACTGAGAAGAGAACTTCCTTAACATAATCAAAACCATTTCAGAATCCTAAAGGAAACATTTTACCAACTGGTGAAGATTTAGAAGCATTCTCATAAAAATCAAAAAGAAAAAAAAGGCCTACTATTTATATACTTTATATATTTGATATAATTTTGGATGGTTAAGCCAAAGTAATAAGGTGAAGATAAGAAATTAAGTGTACAATATTGTAAAGAAAGTGACAGATCATTATTACTTGCAGAAAATATAACTATTTACCTAGAAAATCCCAAAAGATTAAATGAAAAAAATTCTTAGAACTAGTAAAAGTGATAGTGGCAAAATACAATATAAATATAGAAAACTTAATAGCTACCTTATATGCCAACCTGTTTCTAAACATAATGGCAGAGGTGAATGGGGATGAGAATCCCATTCAGATTAGTAATTAAGATTATAAACAAGTCAAGAATAAACTTAATAAGTTGTGTGCAAAACTTATATATAGAATTTTATTTCACTTAAAGTTGAAAGGGAAAAATTAAATAAATAAAAACATTTAAAATTACCAAAAATATACTATTGACAAAATTCAAATTCTTCTGTAGTCAGCAGACAAATACAATAAAATTATAATGAAAAGCCCAATGGGATAGTTTCAGTTGATGCCGTTGTAAGAGGCATTTTAAATAACAAAGGAAACAATACATTATTCAATTATTAGTGTTAACAAATTCACTATTCACTTGAACAAAAAAACTAGATTTCTGCTTCATGTCAAACAAAAAGTAATTTTAAATAGATTAAATATTGAATAAGACACAGAAATAATAGGAAAAACTATAAGAGTGTATTTGTATAGTTTTGGGTGGGGAAGGTCTTTTCTAAACAAATATATCAAGGCCAGAAAGCATAGAGGAAAAGACTGATAGATGTGACCATATAGAAACTTCAAACTGTATTGAATTATTTTTTTTAATTCAAACTAGAAAACATTTGTCATGTGTTCCTTAATTTATAAAAATTATTCACAAACTATTTTGGAAAAGACAAATTCACAAAATTATACAATTGTTTAGAAAATATATAAAAAAGATGTTCAAACAAATAATTATACATTATGTATATATACACAAAGGTATACACAAATAAAATGACTATTTTGCCTATCAGGTTATTAAAGTTTAAAAAAACGTGAGATTGTAGGGAAATGAAAATTTTATACAATGGTATGTTGAATATAAACTTGTACAACTTTTCTGGAAGGTAATGTAAAAACATGTTTTAAAACATTAAAAATGCATCTACTTTGATCCAGCAATTTAATTTTTAGGAATTTAAAGAAATCTGAAGGAAGTACTTGAGTAAATGAGCAAAGATATAAGTAAGAGGTGGTTCACTGCCATGCTGCTGATATTTTTAAAAGAATAAACTAATGAACTAAACATCCATTCCCAGTAAGGACTGGCAAAATAAATTATGGTACATTTCAAGTAACAGGATGCTATACAGACCTTATAATGGGTGATGCAGACCTATAAATCTTAAAATGCATGGGGTTTGTGTGGGGGCGGGGTGTACTTAAAAAGCAGATAACAGAAGAGTACTTATAGTATAATGTGAGAGCTCACCATTTACCTATGACAAGTCTGGAAGAATATATTCCAATTAATGATAGTGGTTATCTCTAGGGAAAGGGAGCAAAATTATGGAATTTTCTTTCTCTGTATTGCTCAATTATTTAAAAGTAACATATATTAGCATATATTATGAGAAAACATATTAATGACATTTCCATATTAAAGACAATAAAAAAGCATTAGTCCTATAATTACCTCATTATCAGAAAGATACTTTGTAGAAATTAATGACATCCATCTTTTTTAAACTTTTTGAGCCATAACTAAAATGGTTAAAATTTCAAAGAGACCAGGAGTTTAAGGAGTTTCAATAAGCTCTTTTGATATTATTTTTTTTTAAATAATTACACTGATGTTATTTTAAATACAATTTTTTAAATATTTATTATTCTTGGGAATGGTAAATGTACCTCTAATACAATATGGAAAAATAGCCCTTAAATATCATATTTGGAAATTATTTTAGTATCTTACATCTTAGAACTAATATTGGTTAGCTATCCTATGGTAAAAAGAATGTCCAAAGCACAATTCAGTTTTATAATGTATCTGTAAAATTAGTCTCAAATATTTAAACAGTCAATTTCAATGCCAATGTATAGTATATCTTCTCTTAAATCAAACTTTTTCTGTCTCTAAGGTTTGAGAGTAAATGTAAGCATATGAATGTTCCCAGAGAAGGAAAAGAAGTTTAAACTTGAGATTTCCTTACTAGATGTTTAAATCAATTTGATTTCAATTAAATGCACTCCACTTATAATGAGATTCAAATCTGCTATATTAAATAAGGATTTAAGTATATCCCAAAATATTGGGCTCAGCAAGAATTCCATATAGGTTAAAAGGTCTTTTATCTTTCAGAGCATACATACTATTAATAATTGAAAATTTTTCAACCACAATCATCAAATAGAAAATATGTAGCCTTAAAAGATCTCCATCAGGTGAATTTGGCCTATCCCTCTATTTTCATGTCTAGACATGTAGCTACAAATTTGCCTTTGCATTCTGTCCTCCTAACACACTCCCAAATCTTCAGAAAATATATGATAGTTCACCAAAAAGTCTTTCATTGTCTTCTAACCCACATTCCTTTATTTCTTCCTTAATGAAGGGTCCTTACTGAACTCAGCTAATCTCACTCCACAAAATAATTTCTGCCCATCTCTGCCACTTGAAACACTCTTCTGCTAATCATACTTAACTCTACATTTAACATGGGAAATCTCAGGACATTCAACTAATGAATGCAATATTCCACCCAGAATGTTACTTAAAATGGCAGATATTTTCTGAATCATTTTTGTACTCTCAGGAAAAATATGGTTGTCAACATATTTAAAAAAACTAAATTTGCTCAATTACCACCAGGCTTATTGCCTCCTGAGAATATCTGCAGCATGAGAATATAATTACAAGTAATAAAAAACGGCAACTAAAACAAAAAATGTTCTCAGCCCATGTAAATCTGAGCCAAATTCAGGTGAAATATTAATACTCAGTTCTGGTACATATTTTTTATTTTGAGTCCAGGTCTTGCTCCGTCACTCAGGCTGGGGTGCAGTGGTGGGATAATGGCTCACTGCAGCCTTGAAATCCTGGGTTCAAGCAATCCTCTCACCTCAGCCTCCCAAGTAGCTGAAAGTATAGGCATGCACAACCACTCTAAGCTATCTCTCTAACTCTGTAAAGACAAGGTATTGCCATGTTGTCCAAGGTATTCTCAAACTCCTAGGCTCAAGTGATCCTCCTGCCTCAGCCTCCCAAAGTGTTGGGACTACAGGCATGAGCCACCGTGCCCAGCTCTGGTGCATAGCCTTGTATGTTGGTTCACTTAAAATAAAAAATAAATAAATAAATAAATAAATAATAAAAAAAAAAAAACAAAGCCTGCCAGGTGACTTGCTTTCTTAGCACTGAGATAAGTTTACAAAATCTTATGAAATTTGATGTAGTTACACTTGATTAAGCAATTTTTTAAATGGAATAAACATCACAGTTGTTTGCAGGACTATAAGTTAGCACATACTGATCTCTAGGCTGTCAATTGGTCTAAACACAAAGATATTTAACACACATTTGAATTGTGTGTAGGGTGTGGTTGTTATACAAATTCATTAGCTTTACTAAGGGACTTTGAATTCCCATTTGTTGAGGAAACTGACCAGTATAACCCCTGAGAGGATAAATTTCTAGTACATCTACTAATATTCTCTGAAAAGAATAAGCTATTTCTCCCCAGGGAGTATGACTCCCATGATGTAGAAATACAAGAAAAATATTCACATTACACATTCTTCTTTAGTATTTAATCATAAAAGGATCATGGGCAGCAAAGATTCCAAGCCATGCTGGGTCAATTAAATTAAATTTGTTTCAAAATAATGTTTCATCTTTTAGATCTCATTTAAATTATCAGTAAAGAGAACATTAAAGTCATTTGTTTATATAGAACTGGTATAGTGACAGGGAAATAAAGTACTTAATGAAACCATTTATAATCTATAATCATTTTATTAAAACAGCATTTCCACTAAACACTTTACAATGAAAAAGTATAGTAATTTACAAATAGCTTAGGGACTGAGCTCTAATTAATCTCTTAGAAAAAAAGACTTGACACCTCCACATATTTAAAGTTTATTAGCTTTGCTATCAGGAAACCTTATAAAAAATGAGAAAGCAAATCCATAATGAATTCACTACACTTAATTTCATATTATCATCCTTAGGTGGTTTCTTAATAATAACTTGTGTGAATTGAGAGAAAGTGACAGCTAGTCTTAACTATGAGAGTGACTGTGTTCATTACTACTTTAAGAACCTCCAAGTCAAACCACTTTATGTTCAAAAATGAAAATCAAAATAAAAAGGGTAAGAGCATCTCACATTTCTAAGAAGTTTTAATCCTTTCAAAAGGTTTCCACGTTTGTTTTCTATCAAGCTCTCTGAAGATTTGAGATGAGAAAATGCAAGACACAGGAGACTGAACAACCTGCCAAAAACATAAATCAGTGGCAGAGTCGGATGGCAAACCCAGGTATTCCTATTCCTGGTGGAGTTTTTCCTCTAAGTTTATACTACCTCTGCATTTTACTACTGTATTTTCTTACCCTTCACTATGGGAAGGAATACAAGTTTTACAGTTATTGATATTTTCCCTCACTGCATGTTGAATAAAAAGAAATAATGTTCTTTTTACTGATAATTTAAATGAGATCTAAAAGATGAAACATTATTTTGAAAAAAGTTTTAATTTAATTGACCCACCATGGCAAACAGTGTGGGTAAAATATTTCATGAAGAAGAAACAACATGGGAAGATCCCGAGGAGACTCCACTAACACAGGCCATTACAGCAAGCCCATAGGAGAGGAACAGGGAAATGAAACGAAGCTGCGTCAGGGGGCTGTCAAAGCCATTTTTTATAAATCTGGAGTTTATTCAACAAAGGTTTTAAGACAAAGGTGAAAGCTCTTACTTTTTTTTTTTAAATGTATATGTCCAGCTGCTAGAGAATGGATTTGGGGATACAAATTAACAGAGTAACAACTTAGTGACTGCAAGAGAGATCAGAGTATACTCAACTAGAGTGAGGACACTCTAGTTGAGAGTGGATTTATTTGAGGAGTTGTCTGGTTTGGACAACTGAGAGGCTGGAGAAGCCACTTGTAGAAACAGAGAAGTCTAGAGAAGAAACAGGTTTGTGAGTGGCTCTTGAGTATTGAGAATGCAAATGTAAATAAGGAACTAGATCCCAAGATAGACCTCTGAGTTCAAGATAAAAGTTTGGGATTTAGGAACTGTCAGGTTATTAGTGGTTTTTGAAATCATGGGGCTAAATAAGATAAGGAAAGAAGGCAGAATAAAAAGAGAAGAGTACCTAGCAGTGACCTTTGAGAATGTACAACATTTTGAGTTTAGTTACGAGAAAAACTAACAAAGGCAAGGGAAATGTTGGTATCAATAATCTCAGGATTTCCAGTAAATAAATCACATTCTTTGAAATTTTTAGTAATAATAATTCTTAGCCCTCTGATACTTGATACAATTAGAAATTTGACATGGTTACTATTATATAATAAAAGTGAACAATCTATTTAAAAATAAAATTGTTTATAACACTTTTTTCCTTATCTCAAGTTTAAAGGGATATTCAACATAAATGTAAAAATGGCATAATATAAAATCCCTCAGTATCTTATCAACACCTAAACTGGCAAAAGACAAATTAAAAAGATGTTTTACATCCGATTGTGTATCCAAGATGAGACAGAGACTGATATTTTCCTATTGTTTAATCAAGGGAAAACAGGCTCTTTAAATTCTATTAAATTATTTAACAGCCACAAACGGATGCAATAATTCACTCTTGGCTAAACAAATCATTTTCTCTTCTTTCTCAATGCCAATAAAGCAAACATTCACAGGTGCTTAATCAACATTTTGCATAAGGCCAAACAATACAATCATTTTATGAATGACAAAGGAAACACACATTAATAGGGTGACAGAACAATGAGTCATCGATAAGTCAAAGATTTGGGAAAGTTTAAAAAATGATCCTGAAGGATATGGAAAACAAAAGTTTACCACGATTCTAAATGTGAATGTCATTTCATTGAATTGACATTTATCAAGCAATTGATGGAGAGAATTCTGTAAGAAGAATTAGGTTATTAAGACTTGAAAAGCTTTCTGGCTTTCTTATTCATTTGGTCTGGAAAGTTGAAGTCTTACTCATCCTGGATTGAGTATGCATTGGAGTAAAGAAATTTTTTAAAGAAGTTTCCTAAAGTTTTCTGGCAAGGTGGCAACTAAATCAGTCCAAAAAGGATTACCACTGAAGAAGATGAAAAACTTAGATTAATATTATTCTGACTTGATAAAAATTCCCCTTTCTTCAAATAAAGTAGAGCTCTTCTCTTTATCCTAATCTTAGAGGATATTGCGTTATGTCCATTATTCCCTACAATGCAGTCTACAGAATGTAGGTGTGTGCATTTGCTATGTTCTTGAAGACTACATACATCTTGGCTGCCCCTCAGTCTTATTCTGCATTTCAAAAATCCTAATCCCTTGCATTTTCCTCATGAATCCTATTTTCTAGAGCTTTAATTATCTGTGCAGGTTCTTTCTGACCCAAGCATTTTACTTACCTGGACAAATCACTAATGGTCAGACCAATGCTAATTGTAAAGAAAATATGGCTTCAAGGCTCGTTAGACACCACATTTTACATATCCTTTATTTGCTGGTTTTTGTGTCTTACTTATACAATGAGTCATTCCAATTATCATTGCAACTCCAGATGACTTTCTGTCATATTTTTCATGTCTACACAAAGCTTTAAAGTTTCTAGGACTGTGTTTTCTTGCTCCCACTATGCAGCTTTTGCCCAGTTAGCTCTCAACACAAGTCCATGGGCAAATCAGTGCCATGTCAAGTATGCTACTGAACATGCTAAAAATCCTCCAGGTAGGTAGACTGGAGAAAAAACAATGTTACAATTTCTTCTTCCTGTTACAGAGAAGCGGGTTTTGGTCCCTGGGCCAGAAAGAAATCTGCCCAGCCATTAACATTTCTGTCTCCGTAATCTTCCCTATACCAAATGGTCCACTGAAATTATTTGCTCTAAGAATTCATTTGCTGAGGATAAATGGGTGCTCTCTTGTCTGCAAAACATAAGGACTTTTCATTCAGTCTTTGCTTTGAATTAGTTATAATCCTGTAGAAGAAGTACAGTCATAAATGAATCACAGTTAATACTTAATACAATTTTGACAAAGTTCTGCAAAACTAAAATAGCAGTCTCCTTTTGGCCCAGGAAACAAATTTCACTTAAATTTTCAAACATACTAAGACTATAAAAATGGTGCGGCTGGTGGGAATCAATAGCTTCTTAGATTTTGTAGTTAAATTTGACCTCAACAAAAGGAAAATTATTAAATATTAAATAATAGAATTTATAATAAATTTATAAATTTCTAATAATAGAAAATCTAATAGAATTTCTAATAAAGCCTTAAATTATAAGCACATCAAATAGAGAATAAAAAAACATAAAGCTCACTGTTATTTGCACTGGTAATATGGACGAAAATCTATTCATGCCTAAAAGAGGATAGAAATGAAAACTTTTTTTTAAGTCGCAAACTAGTTTCTGTTAAATCCCTGAATTAAGGAGCTCAGTCTGATAAGTAAAGTAGCAACCTAGTCAGTAAATCTAAGTCACATGTGACTTTGGATGAGCCTGTACAAGGTAAACAAACTTGAATATAAGGCACTATACTGGAACTTGGAGGAGTAGGGACTTAGTTTTGTTAATTGCTTCATCCTTAACACCTACTATTATTATATTAGCTTTTTATTCACAGATTTCTTGCCTGTCTCCCAGAGCTCCTTAAAAGCAGATATCTCCAGTACCTGCCACCACGCCTGGCACCTCTCAAGCACTCAATAAATACTTGTTGAATAAAAGTCTGTAGAAATACCATAGCTATGTACTATGATGATTATTAGCTTATTGAACATTCCTATGGCAACAGAATCGATGCTGTCTAAAAGGTGAAAGCAAGATTGAACCCAAATATCTGACTCCTGGGGCACTTGCTCTTAACCACTACTCCAGGAGTTCAATTCCATAGAAACACGATCTCCACCTAAGGCTTCTGCCTGAACATTGGATTTTACACCCAAATTGGCTTTTGTTTTTCAAATCATGAGAGAGAATAAAAATACTTCCCATGAAAAGCTGATGGATCACAGTGCACATATTTAAATAATAGTTTGAACCCTA